TTTTTTTTTAGCACAGAGAGCTCTATAGAATCTTGGGTTAGGAAAAGATCATTGGGGTCGCCGAGCTCGTGTGATGATGTATCAGCTTTGTTTAGGTCGTTTTCTTTCGTGAAAATTGGTGACTGAACCCCCGCTATTCACGCCCATCCTCTTGATGGTTCCCAAAGCAATGTCGCCACGATACACTTGTACATCATACAATTGCTTCGTGATCACGAAGGAACTTAGTGCGAGTCCTTAGTTTACCTAAGAAACGAACATATCGTCACCATGGACGTCTCACGTGGTAACAGAATCAGATTAGACTTAATAGTATTCCTTTCTCTTCATGTATTTATGTACCACTGAAAGTATTTCTGTTTGAGGCTGACTAGCTGGTACTCGTGGTTGTAGTTCAATCGTTCTACTGTATATAGGTGAGTGAGGAACTTAACGACATTCTCTTAGGAATCTTAGGCATATTGACCTGAACCCTCTCCCTCTGATCGACCCTTATCAGGAGGCTTTCTGCCTGCAGCTATCTTTGTAAACCGTCTCACGGAAACTGAGAAAAGCTTTCCAGGCAAACATTGCGGGCGCTGTTTTATACAATAAAGCGATGGGTGTCGAGATACTCCGACTTTCAGGAGTGAAGCACATAGTGATGGTGAAGTTGGAGGAAAGAATTGAAGATGATTACATCTCAATTGAAAGCGAAACTCTTGGTCCTGAATTCTCGTGCTCGCTGATACGGCACCGAAGAAATGGAGTGTTGCGTGTAAAGCGTTGTTCCCCAATACACGATTTCACTGACATCACATACATTATGCATCCAGATATAGCTACGATATACTCCATCTATGGATCCATGGCAGGTTGTGTTTCCGTAGAAGAATACCTGGAGCTCAGACTTGCCGATTTGTTGCCGCTAACAGAGGTAGAGCTAGCGAGCGCAACTTCTCAGGTAGGATCCAACAGCGCCCTAAATGCGACAGAGGGTTTCTTCCCTAAAGGGCCTACCACTCACAGCTGACCTGTCAGATTATCGATGGGTTTCATCATCTTTCTCAGCTGCCGATTCGGTCTGAGCTTGATGAAATCCGAGTTTCTCTTGCCGGTCGCGTGAAGCTTGGTAAATCTTTTCCCCAGGTCGATCAGAGGCTGCTTTTCAGCTGACTTGGGTTGTTACTAGTCGTTCAGACCTCGCCCGTAAGGTGGCGAGAGCCGCCCGTGGGGATACCTATACGGGAATACTGGCACGCCGCTTTTTTGGACCTTTTTCGGTCAATGTTACCTGAACAAAATGGGAAGCCTTTTGTTTCATATGTAGCACATGACTTTTTGGGAGTATCTGCGACTTGCATCCCATCTCCACAAGTAAGATCCACAAAAGCGGAGAGGACGCCTAATTTTCAAACATGTACTGATTCACACTCAAGCATAAGTTTTTACAGCTTTCTAGAGGTACAGCTGGAATCGCACCGCGGGCGAAGGACCGGTATATCGGCTGCTCAAGAGAGAATCTTCGTGAAGGATGAAGCTGTGGGAAATGAAATTGAGATGCATTGGTACCCCATTTTAATACTTGGCCGGTAGTAGTGCCACTAGCCTTTGACAGCGGTATTCTGCAAGTACCACACACGCAATCTTATGCTCTGGTACTCTTGATACAGCAAATCAGAGTTTACAGGGTGCTCTTCTTGATCCTGAACATTTGTCATCGACTTCCGCAATACACTCAAAGTTCCTAGAACCTTCTTGCTCACACCACCATGAATAACCTCTGGTGTTTGACAGGGAGCGAGCTTATGGATATCACGTCAACGTTTGACGCATAATGTCTGTCGAAGTATCCGTATTCGCCCCCCCCCCCCCCCCCGGAGAGAGGGAGGTGACTGATTTGATGGAGAAAATGCTCTGCGGTGGGGGTTACGTGAAATACTAGTTGCCCCACCACGGTTCTAATTACATGCTTCGCGGTCTAGGCATGTAGTTGCGCATATTGAAAGGCTCAAAGTCCACCCTAGTTGTGAAATGTCAGCCCTAGCTTTGAAATGTCAGCTCTAGTTGTGAAATACTTGGCTACTCTACCTCACGGCGTAAGGAGACTTACGTAACAGAAAGGTGTCGGTCCTCGTATTTGCGCTAAGAATTTGAAGCTGGAATTTGACCTGTAACATCCAGCCATTTGAGATTCATTTTAAGCATTGACCTGGGTTTGCCAGCTAACTCAAACTACCAACCTGAATGATGGAATCTCGCGCGTTGACAAAATCACCTAATCTCGCTAGACAGCAGCTTGCTTACCCTGCAGTTGCTGTAAGAGCTGACGATAGAGAGTCGCTGAGTGTTACGGATCACGACATGCCTTCCCAGGACGAAAGTAATATCGTTCTTGAATTTCAATCTAGAGTGATGAGCACTTTCATATCTGACCCTGCCGCATGGCTTCGAAGAGAGCGCTGGCATCTCAAAATGGATAACAGTACGACGCAACCCCGTGGCATTAAACTCGATTCAAACGCCAGCCATAGGACGGCGCCGCCGGACAGCGTCACTGAATCCCAAGTGTCCAGCGAAGACCTAAAACTTAGTGTCGCCAGCGACCATCAAGTCACGTTCCGAGCATTACCAGTTACTTGATAGCAATCAAGAACCTGAGCGAGCTGCTGATTATCTTGCTTTGGACCACGCAGGATTATCTTCAACTCTTCTTTGTCAAGAATTTGGGTTCCGGGAAGACTTGCCATTGGAGCAACTAGCATATACGGACAGTCAGCAGCGGTTTTGTCCAAACCATCCTGGCCAGGCACAAATGGAAGGTTGTTTTAAAGTAGTCAACACAAAGTGGCTTCATCGAACTAATGGAGACAAAAGATCACGAACTTGAATACCGTTAGATGGAGCCATTCAGCGGAGCAAATTGAATGCATGGATCTTGTAACTATCTCAAAGGAATATGGCCTCGATATGGGTGTCGCTCCACCATTTTCAACTGAAAGGTCAGATCATCAAATTATGTGCTGTCTGCTACTGTGTAGTATATATCTGCCCCATGAATCTAATCTAGTATCACTGGGTGTACTTTGATCACAATTTCTATGATGGAGAAACCAAATCCTGAACTCGACCCTTACGTCATAAAAGTCAAAGCGGATCCCAAATGCTAGGAAGTCTCGGCATTGGTCAAATTCTCCATGGCATGCGTTCAACTGCCCACTTAGAATCTGAGACGTATTCATGTCCTAGACCATGTCACCTAAAGTAAATCGAGTAAACGCTCCAAGCCTCACAACAGTCAGCTTGAGAGTGGCTGTCTGGACGTGGATGCTTTTCCGACTGCTGTGGAGGAACACAATACTGGTCTTCAGAACGACCAAGGACTCCTGGGAAATGAGCTTCCTAGTCACGCTTGATGCTGGTATCCTGCGCACCACCTCGTTCGAAAAGCATAGTGACAGCCTGCAGTCCCGTCGTTGCTGCTTTTTGTATGTTCTTGAAAAGTGCCATTCGTGGTATTTCTTCGATACCTGCGGTTTCAAGCCACCGTTTTATCTGTTGTGTGGCTGGCCTTTGTTTTGTCATGACAGCAAACGATGCAAAGACTAGAGCAAGGCGAAAGAAGAAAAGCAGCTTTCGACAGGTATATTCGATAGCATATGTGATGAGAGCAAACGCCAGTAGACACCCAGTATATTTGAAATCGTTAAGCTGCATGGTGGTTTCGCAAGCCTGGTAATAAAATCTCTTTGCCTGGGGGCATTTAGATAGGTTTATAATAAATGTCAATGCAAGGGCAAAGTTTATTCATTGTCTTGACCCTATGATCGCATGGGTTTTAATCTAATAATAGAAGCAACCATTCGAAGGAGAGACTTCGCTTCATACTTTAGCGACGCTATTCATAAGCTCCACCAGAGACTTTTTACTGTTATCAATACTCTCCGAGACTGCCAAATCTGCTTCCCTTCTCCTTTAACTATTTTTAGTGCCGATCAAGGCGCAAAAGTGAACACATGTATAGATGGAGGTTCCAATATCTATAATTTCACTCTTGTAGAACTGTTGCGACTAGCATATTGAGTGAGAAAGTCCACATTACCATCATCTAAAGCTACATCCCATGCTGTATCTAATATTGGGACGTCACAGTCCAACCAATGTTCAGTTCTTTAGCTCCGATTGTTGTTGATGTGTTAGAATCTCGTATCCTGGCAAGATGCCTTGTGCTTGATAAAGGTGTACATATTCCCCCACCTGCTTCTTAAACCGTGTTAAAGAAGCTAAGGAGTGTCTATAATGGACTTTTTCCCGTCAAAATATCCAAGCCGAGCTGGGGAGCAAAATGTGAGACCTTTACTTTGTGCCTGCACAGCCCGGGGTGACACGAACGAAAGAGATGAAGGCATTTACATTTGTGAAATGGAAGTGGGGTAGAACTGTGGAGATCTTCCCTCATTTCATCGAGACTCATAAGAACGTGAAGCGAGTTCATAAATTCAACTAAAGTGGCCTGGAAGGTAACGGAATGGATGACAACGACTCAAGCTGAACCGTACTGTAGTTACGTGGGTGTTCCTTTTTGATCGACATATGATTTTAGATCCCCTCCACCCCCTCTAAGCCCCATCAATCACAGCGTTTACACCCCACGAGGGGATGTTGACCTTGTTTTGTCGAACTGACCGGCCGGTAAACCACGCAGTCGGTATACCACGGTCAAACTTTTGGCATTTCATATGACATATGGTGTTGGCCATCACTGTCGTGAGACATATGAAAAGTTCAAATTTCTGGGGTCTGCACATAGAGATAACACCATCATACTGTTGTACATAGCAGGGGTTTGTTCGGCCTCTTCAACCATCACGACCGGGAATCATTCCTACAAGTCGCAAACACTCTAAATCTATATCTATGCCCACGGGTTTCTGAAAATATCCGAGATTGAGAGTGAGAGAATCATCCTAGACTTCTTCTCAACAGTCATCGCTAGACAGATGAACATCGGTTGTGAAAAGGCCCGAAAGAAAGAAACACAATCTTGCCGGCCATCCCTTTTCCATGGCAGTGATCGGTGCCCCACGATGGACATTGTCGGAGAATGCGACGGATGTTCTAATACCCCAGTATTTTAGGCACATTGAAGTTGATGATGTCCTGACGCCCTACCGTATCGTAGCGCAACCCGACAAACAAGAAGTTGCGAAACAACTAGATAAAGAACGTACGACAAGCAAATACGCTATCAACTCATTGTGCAGTGTTGCATCAGATAACTCCGAGACAGACATCGAACAATTCCATCCCGACAAACTAGCATCTCGAGCTGCAGCAAGACAAGCTCTGGAGAAGTCAGCGGTTTCCGTCGAAATAACGCCTGATGATGTAGATCTGACTGCCGCTTCAAAGATTGATTCTCGGGACATTTCGAAACGGGATCCTGTGGCGAGTGATGATGAGTTTATCAGGGGCATCGATGATACAAGCGAGGCTTCACCAGATAATCCGTTTCAACTACCGCCCAGGAATCCTGCGCGCTTGGGTGGAAAGGTTATTCAGACACTACCACCGCTGCCCGAGATCATGGTGACGTCAGCAGATAAGACACAAATCGAGTCGCTGGATGATGACGTTGCCTTCGATAGCACCCACATGAGGACGAAAGAGAAGGATGAATTCATTTACCTCAAGAGCACACCATATACGCTGACGCAACCCTCTTTCCGTCATGGATTCATTACTTTGTCCCTCCCTAGGTTGGACAGAGGAGCCAAGACGACGGACGACACATTAGACTGGACAGCATTCCAAATGGCGATTCTCGGAGGAGCCGGAGAGCTCTTTCAAGACACCTCCTGCGAAGAAGACATACAGCAGGCGGAGGAGGTTACGTCGTGGTTCGATACGTTTGGCTTTGAGACATACGGTGAGCTGATAACCGAAGACGTGGCTGAGGGAGAGTTTGAGCCTGGGCCGTCGACGCGATTATCGCCACACAGTACTCTGTCATCGGCGCATTCTACCATCGACAATGAAGCAAACCTTCCTATTCCAGTTGGCGCTGAGTTCTCTTCCGGATTCTGGAACGCACCGGCGCCCGGCCAGGCTTTCGACAAAGCTAAGTTCTTTAGCAGTACAGGGTTAAAACGATGGGTCGGAGAAGGAGGCCCCAAACGGCCTTCGTTCCACGGTTCGGAGGAAAGCTTACCACCCAGCCCGATGATGGAGCTCGTGGTTCATATGGATGATGTTGAAGGCGGTATTTCGGATACGGTACCGATGGGTTATAACCTGGGGCACGACCTTGGTGACTTTTTGAAGTGGCAGGCGGAGAATATGGTATGCGTCTGAAATTAGCATGTTGCCGCAAAGGCTATTACATTCCTTCGTTGTTTTCTTTTTTTTTTTTTCCGCGGTTAATACTTGTTTATAAATTACAAACAAGCCCCACGCTGATGCCTGTGAATGAGATCTCATTTGACACATAACTACG